CCTTTCAGGGGGAGAAGGTCCAAGTATCCAGTTACAAAGAAAGATCTGTTGAAGCTAACGCAAACACAGAAGTTTCAGTAACTTAAGAATTGGTGATTATAAATGATTATTTGGGAACATAATTCTTATTTGTGTTATCCTTATTAACTAGCGATAGATCTCAAAATTCTGTGAAACATAGATAACTATGGTCAATTTTTATATAATCGATTCTGTCCCAGGCAAGCAGAAATAAACAAAATACTCACATTTTATTAAGGATATAAAATACAGACACTGGTTTAATTAATTTTCTTAAAATAAAATAAAAAATATTTTAACATATGTCTTTCTACATTATAGCAAATATTGGAATAATTAAGTCTTTTTTTTAACCTAACCATATGCAGCATTTGCATTTTATAGCAAAGTGACTGAAAGAAGAAGTAATACAGGAAACTTTGCTTTGAGTCAGTCAAATTTCAGCTTTCCTTTTTGTGACCTCTTTGTCACTTTGAGGGAATAAATGCTGTTTTGGGAAAGGCAGTGTTTCTGCCAGGAGGGTCCCTTGAATAAGACACCCTACAGTCTGATTCTTACGGGGAAGGAATCACTTCCCTTTTTCAGAAACATAAACTCAGTTTATTAGAGTTAAACTAGATAAAAAAGGAAGTTGCAACAGCACTCTTCGTTATTCTCAGAAACATCCTGGAGTCACAAAAATCCTTAAATGTTTCACAATTATACACCTCAGAATAGCAATGTATATCCCATAGATTTGTCTTCCAAGTACAAAGGAATTTAAACATTTCCTAAATCATATCTTATTTATTTAACTATATATTTATATATACTAATACATCTATTTACTAATGTACAATAAGTTGAAATGTCCAAATCAATAAATATTAATAAAAAAAGAATAGACACTGAAAGTGGGAGGTCAGGCGTGAACAATTAGGAATGCAGTCAGTCTGGATATAAATAAAAAGGTCCAAAGCAATGATTCATTGAACATGTTGCGTTTGAGAAGGTATTTCCTGTTATATTCACTGAATTATTTTGTAACAGATTCAGTAGCGTTTTCTGTTATAAAAACGAATATATTTCTTCAGGAGAACTTAAAACTTAACCGTCCAAAAGAAGAAAAGAAAAGAAGAAAACATGATCATTAATTTTTTTATTGACAAATCAAAACATTATTGAAAAATGTTTAGATTATAGCAATCCTTTTAATCTAAAGCATTGTTATGAATTACTAGTCTATAGACACTGTGAACAATGTTATCTCTTAATAGAAACTTTTCAGGCACAGTTCCTTTAATGTCAATTTAAACATATTTAGATAAAAAATGTGGAAATAAAATTACTAAAACACATAGAGAAATTAACTGATGATGTTTCTCTCTATCTTTTAAGTTATTTCCTTGGTACCAGATAATATAATCTCTTAATTAAATGAGGCTTCTGGTACCAGGGTGGAGGAACTAAGCTAATCTCCCATTGCTTCACCTTCAGTATCCAGCATGTAGAGACTTGAGGAAGAGGGAATCAGATGGTGTTCCAAGTTCTAAGCAAACACACCTATGGAAAATTACCAGAGCCAAAGAAAAGAAAAGAATGGCTGATATTCATACTTGGATCTGATCTAATTGAATCCTGAAGTTAGAGGTCACTTTTTAAAGCTGTATGACAGGGGTCCTCAGTCCAAGTCCCCAGGATCCACTCTCCTCCATGTTTTAGATTTGTCTCAGCTCCAATGAATCAAATGATTTTACTACCTCCCCGACAGCCATGAAGGGCTTGGTTAGCTATAATATTTCAGTCAGGTGTGTACAAGCAGCAAAAATATGCAGGACAAAGGGTTCTGAGGACAATGAATGAAGACCCCTACACTGTCTGCATTTTATCAAAAAGATTATTCCAGGCTGCTTCTGTTAATAAGGAGGATCCCTTTTATGTAGGCGTCCACAAAGATTGCACAACCTGAATAAACACCCTATATGCTTATTTTCTGCTGTTTCCTCCTTTTGTTGTCATGTTGAAGCTGACATTCTTCCTTTATACGCGTTATAATCTGTCCACTGCTTAATTTTTGAGAGTTTTACAACATTCATTCCATGCAGCAGCAGGGTTGTTGAAACTTGTCTGAGGTAAAAAGACTTTGAATGGCAACTAAAATACTTACCACTTTACCTTCACTGGAGACATGATGTGTGGAACCTAGTGTACCATACAATGTGTTTCATCTACAAAACAAAGTATAGTCTAACTCTAAAATGAAGTGAAATATATATGATAATTATCATTGTAACAGCATGATGAGTAACAAAGAACTCAGTAGACATGACAAAGATGAAATAGTGGAAAAGTTTTCTGGGCAGCATTAAAGTGAAACTAAACCTGAAACTGTTCTTTGTGTTCATCCATTATATAAGGGTGAACTTGAAGTATTTGTCCAGTAATTTTGTACAAAAACACGCCTACACTGTTTTAAATTGTAGTGTTTTTAAAAACTTACTGTGCTTTTTATGGGAGCTGCCATTTTGGCATCCTCTATGACTAAAATAATTGACTATTTCGTCAATCAAGCAAGAAAATTTATAATCGTGGCGTACCAGCAGCATGGCTGCCTTTCATAAGCATACTGCAGCTTTGCAGTATGAAAGGTAGGTGTGTTTACATCCTCATTGGGGCAGTTCTTAGGTCATTCCCTGCTTCAGTTAAGTTTAAATTATGAGTGCACCAATTGTCACGGTTGGGTGGAGGTTTTTGAGGAACCAAATCCAATGATCAGGAGGCAGAGATGAGTCTTGAAGGCAACTGAGGCAATAATTCAAAATACAAAAATACTAAGAACTAAAAAAACAGAAAACATCAGGGGAAAACTCACGTGGGGAGCCAGAGATGAGGAAGCAGCAACACAACAAGGAACCTGTCATGATGGGTCTAACTGATTTAACCCACATGCAGAACACCACAGACTCAGAGTAAAAGTTCAACTGTTTATTAAAAAGAAAACACAATGATGTTATTTGGCTTCAGATGCAGGAACGGGTCCAGGAACCGGTAACACAGGGCTCTCTGTAGAGAGGGACAGTTTGGTTAGCTAAGAGACTGGAGTATCTTGTCAGAGTCCTTGAATTGATCTGTACCTGATGTGGTTCAGACAGAACTGTAGAGGGAGGGAACCAGATGGGTCCAGAGACAGAGGTATCAGCTGAGGGCTTAGCAGCGGCAGGGCTTGGCTTCAGGCTTATGAGGTTCAGACCTTGAATGATCTCCTAGTTCTCTCCTTGAGAACCAGCAGGTTGTTCCAGGCAGAGATCTTCAGGTTTGGCTTCCAAGGGCAGGCAGGCAGGTTTCCAGACTGTGGGCTCCTCCAGAGCTCCAGGAGAGAATCAGGCTTTTCCATAAACTGTTTAACACTCTGGCGCTGAAGGGAAGTCAAGCCGCTGCTTATATAGTTGGTCTCCTGATGAGATGATCAGCCTCAGGTGTGCAGGTGGCTTCAGCTCAGGAGACCCAGGGCGCCCTCTGCTGGAGAAAGGTGGCAAATCTCCAGATCCCAACAGAACCAGTACTGAGTGACTGCAGAGGTGGTATATATAAGGGGAACAGAAGAAAGGATGGACTAATAAGGTGAATATGGAGCAGGTGTGATTGGAACTAACTAGAAGGAAGCCAGGGGAAAAGAAACACGGGGGCGACGGAGAGTAACTAAAGTGCGCTTTAATATAATGGAAAATAAATCAAAGATCAACTAAACAGGATAACTGAAAACTAAAAGCCTAGAGTCCTAAAAGAGGAGAACCATAACACCAGTGTTATACTAACTTTACATCCTGGTTTACATGAAAATTGGTT